CATAGGGACCATGCGGCACACAGCTGCCCTGGCTCCACAGGACCAGGCTGCTCCGTGTGCGCTGGCTGTCGGGACACGGGTTCTGCTGCCCAGGGAAATCACACGACAACCTGGCGCGTTCTCCTCTCCTGGCCCCTCTCCTTCTAGCCCTCAGCTCACCCCCGTCCCCATGGATATTTCTACCAAAGGTCCTAGTTAAAGCAATAGTAGCCAATGGCTTCGTGACCCGGGTGCCGTGGTCTTCCAGATGTGCTTTGGCACAATGTGGTGTCTCAGAGTCCAGATGTGCTCCTACCTGGCCCACATCATCTGGAACCCAGATGTGCAAGGCTGCTATTCTAGAGTACAGATGTTCTTTTTATATCAGACCTACCCCTGACCAACCCAAGTATCCAGAAGGCTTGTTCACCCCCAGGTTTTCCCTATGGACACGGGGCAGGTGCTGGTGCAGGGAAAGGCAGAAGCCTGGGGCAAGGGAAGGCCGAGGCTGTCGGTGCCCGGCTGGGCCCTGGCAAAGGACATCCTGGCATCTTGGTGCCGTTGGGGTCCGGCCTTCTGCAAATCCGGGCAGGATGAGCCGGGCAGAAGAGGACCTGCATCCCGTGGCAGCCCGGCCCAGGGGGGAGCCGAGCGGGAAACGTTCTCCCCAGCTGCAGAAGTTGCTCATATTTTTTTTTTTTGAAGGTGGTTAAAAATCAGTAATTCAAGCAGTGATGCTTCAGAAACCCAGGGGGATGTTAGCACGAGTCAAACCACCTCGTCTTGAACTTTTTGTACACTTATTTAAATTTGTACGTCTAATTTGCAGTTGTTTCACATTGCCAAGCACAGAGTCGTTTGAAGCAAAAATGGCAATGTCTTGAAATAGGAAAAGTCAGCAGTTGTGGTGTTTTTTCCCACTCAAACGTGTTGAACAGTGGGCCCTGTTCAACCGTCCCTTTCCGCAAACGGTTTTGATTTTGCTGGACTGTCTTTTCACCCACGAGGGCAGATGTGGCGTAGCTGGCGCGCTCGTTTTGGTGGATACCATCCGTGGGGAATCGTGATTATTTCCCTGGCTCCGCGGCCCCGCCGGGAGCTTCTCCCTGTAAGGCTTTTCCACCAAACGAGCCTCCCTTCCCTTCCTGTGCACGCCCCCGTCTCCTTCCCCAGTGCCCTACAAATTCTTCTCGGACCCGTCGGGCATCAACGAGAAGCGGAAGCAGCGGCGGATCCGCACCACGTTCACGAGCTCCCAGCTCAAGGAGCTGGAGCGGGTCTTCGCCGAGACCCACTACCCCGACATCTACACGCGCGAGGAGCTGGCCCTCAAAATCGACCTCACCGAAGCCCGCGTGCAGGTGAGCGGGGCTGCTCTGCTGCTTTGCTCCCCACGGAATGGGGATGTGCTGGGTGGAGGGATGGGGATTCTGTGCCCAAAACTGTCCCCATGTCCCCCCTTCCCCGCCCGGGCAGCCAAAGTGTCGCTGGCTCCGCGGGGCGTCAGCCCTGCCGCCCCGGAGGAAATTCCCCCCTCGGCCGGGGAGGAAGCAGCGTGTGTGCATGCTTGTGTTTGGCGTTTTAGAGAAATCGTACCGTTCACCAGCTTTCCCCCGGGGAGCAGATCAGATTTTGCAAAGTTTGCAAGTTGCATGTGCGAATTTTCCTGAAACGTTTTTTCTTCCCAATGTGCAGCCTATGGAGAGGGCACGGGGCGGGGGAGGGCCGAGCTGGGGAGGAGCAGGAAGGGAGGGTTTGGAGCAGGGGGACTCTGACATGGACACGATTAATGGCCCTTGTGGGAACTCCACACAGAGACCCTTATGTCTTCCAGATAAAGGCTGGGTCAGCAGTGTGTGCAAACACGCAGAGGGATCAGGAGTGTGAACAGATCGGGGGGTATAATAGAGTCCCTCGGGGACACGGCAGGGAAGGGGGAGGGCTTGGGCACGGCGCCGGGGTAGAGCAGGGGAATGGAGCC